GATAAAAAGAAGAGGAAGAAATACACCAAAATGCTAGCAGTAATCTCTAAGTAGTGGATTATAAGGGACGTTTATATTCTTTATACTTGATTTTTTTAAAATTAGGATCTGGAGAAAGAGGAAAAGGGAGTGTCATATAAAACCATCTTCTTTAAATTGCTAATGAGGTATTTAGGTATAAAAATTGTACTTAAAGTAAATAGTAGTATATCAGCTCCTGCTCATTATCTGTAGCTCGAGTGCCACAAATATACCAGGAAAGAGAGAGAAGGAATCTAGGGTATAGTCCCACAGTTACAGCCAGGATATTTGTCATCTTTAAACAAAGTCCCTTTCAGACCCAGGCTCATGTTAGACCAGCAAGTCATTGAACATTAATCACTAACACCGATTTTCTCCTGATTTTATATTTGGATATTCAGTTCTACTCAGTTTTCTGACTGTTGAAGACCTGGGGTGATAATCTCTTTCGACTGTTACGTAGATTAAGAAGTAAGTTCTCTGACGGTTGAAATGAATTCTTGTTAAATAAAGATGTCAAGAGATGTGTTTCTGTTTGGGCTGGACTCTCACAAGTGCTACTAGCCCTGCGTGTTTGGAAGGGTGGTTTGCTTTGATGAAGGTCCCCAGCAGTGTAGTTGTAAGTGGTTAGCCAAATGAAAGCATTCTTGCTTCCCTTTGTAACATTGTGGTTCCTTTCTTGGGGCTCAGTGCTGTAGTAGCTCAGCAAAAATGCAATCAGAATCATATCTATAAAAAAATTGGTATAAAAGCAGTCGTTCACATTGTGGCTGTATTTTTATACACACGCACACACACACACACATTTCCACTGGTACATTCCCAAATAGGGAAGGGGCTCTCTCAATCTCGATCATTGCTAAAGGTGAAAGTTGAAAGAATGCTTATGGTGTTCCAGGATTTAAAAGTGTTGGAGAAAATGAGAGTAGCAGCAAGCTTTCTTTGAACTAGAAGTTGTCAAACCTACAGAAACTAGGTATCTGTAGGTAGAGCCTAGGAATGTATATTTCTAAAACACGTGTAACCTGTAAGGCTGGAACTTGGGAACCACTGTCCCAAGCTGTACATGCTGTCATATGTTTTAATTCTGTGCTGTCAAATGATATCAAATAATCCCAGTGACTACTGAGCTCTTGAAATGAGGCCAGCTTGACTGAAGAACTGAATTTTTAATTAACTAATTAATTATTGGATTTAAATGCAAATAGCTGCATGTGACTGATAACTATCATGAGACAGAACAGCCCAACCTACTGTATACTGCCATTCAGTTGGGGATGAAGTGAGTCACTTTTCAGCCTGCCCTTCCAACAAGTTGTGCCTTCCCTCTTTCTGACACAGTGATGCACAGATGTGGCTCCAGAGCCTCCCACTGGCAGAGTCCAGGCAACACCTTCCGTAGCCACACCCAGTCACATGACCTGGGTTTTAGAATGTGATTTACTGACATATTCTTAACTCCCTGCTCAGACACAGATGGTATGTTTCATAACCTTATCATCCCACAAAACAGAAGCCAAACTCTGTTCTCAGCCCAGGATTTCCAACTCATTGTTTTTGTATTTTTGTAGTGGTTTTCTTTTTAAGTAAGGAAATCATTTCTAATCTTCTTCCCTGTTGCTTAAAGGGTTTAAAAGTTCAGCAGGGTGAGTTTGTTGTAGGGTCTTTAATGGGAAGCTGAGTATTATAAACATATGCAAATGATCACAGTAGTCTAGTTCACCAAGTTGTTTTCCTGTGCATGCTGAGCTGACTTCTTTTCCAAACACGAGACAGTTCTCCAGCTATCGCAGACATTATTTTCAGGGGCTTTCACATTCTAAACCTGGTGAGAGGAGGCTTAACTCCTGAATAGAAACGAGTCCCCAGCAAGGCTGAAGCTGGATGCAGGCAGGCCTGGTGGTGTTCTTGTGCTGTGTGCGTGTGGTCCAATGAGTTAATGTTCCTGCCTTAGAGGATGTGTACTAGAGGGACATGTAAGGAAGAGAGAGGCTAGACCTGGGGAAAAGCCACATTCGGGGCTTAGAAGAAAGTATGGGCCCTCCACAACTTTGCCCTGCCATATCTAGCAGGTAAGAAAAAAGATTACAGTTCCAAATAATGTAATCCTATCCTGGTGAAGAGCATTTCGCACCACCACGATGATTACCTAGGCTGCAGATCAGAAAGGGCTCTGAAGAACTGAAACTGGAGAAAGAAGAGACTGGTTTAATTTCAGCTTTTGTAACTCAAATGCTGTGGCCTGCCCCCATTTATTTATTTTTGATCTAATGTTACATTCCAAGAAACCAGGCATGGTAGGCTGCCTATGGTGACATATCTGCCTGCTTATCAGCATTTTTTTTTTCTTGAAATTGTAGGCACAGAAAAATGAGAGAGAGTCTATCAGACAGAAGTTGGCACTTGGAAGCTTCTTTGATGATGGTCCAGGAATTTACACCAGCTGTAGCAAAAGTGGGAAGCCCAGTCTCTCCTCCCGGTGAGTGTCTTTCAAGTTGGTTTTCTGTACATACCTAATGGATTTGTCTGTGTATCTAATGAAAGATGGCCTTTAAATCCTCAAATTGTTTTTTTTTCCCATAAAAAAAGGGTCTGTTTTAGACAGACTCTTTCTTACTAGCTTGTTGTTTTATTGCTGGTTTTGTGTGTATGTGTGTGGCTAATTGCCAAGGTAGTTGAGGTCAGGTTTTTATTTTTCATTTTTCTTTAGACATAATACTGATTCTGCAGACTGATAGGAGAAGCAAGCCACACTCCTAGGCAAGCTGGCTGATGCTTTATACGTGTGGCAGACCACCAGATTTCCCATTAAGTAGTCCCAAAGCACCCAGACTCATCCGATACATTTGATTGCAATAAATACCAGTAACTGAGAAATACATTGATCATTTAATGTTTATTACTGTACTTAGCCTCTCCTCCAGGTAGTTTTTCTTTGTCTTAATTCATTTAAGAATATTTTTGCTCATTTATCATAATTTATTTATTATTGGTAATTTGCATAGTTTTAAATTTCAATTAAAATTATAATTTTACCTAGAAATCAGGCTATAGACCAGAGATTCTCAGCCTTTAATGTGCTTAGGTTTCTTTGATTAATTTATAAAAGTATTGTAAATACAGGTATTCCAAGTGATGAAAGTACATATTGTTTTTATGAAGATGGTAGGAGATGGTCCCTTCCATCCCCCAGTGTCTGTTATCTCTGACTTTTTTTGAGCTAAAAGCAAATATACCCTGTGTAAGTTCTGCATATATTCCATGTTAAGCCAGATGTTAGAGACAAATAATACTATTTTTAAATTCATTCAATCAACAAATTTTTACAGTGTCTCTAGTGTGAAGCCCAGAACCAGGCCTCACTTCACTAACCCCTGTTGGATCCTTAGAGATTCATCTAAATCAGAAAGCAGACACACACTCACATAGATGCATATTGTCAAGGCACATGGGTGGGTTAGTGCATCACGACAAGAGAGCTCTCTTAGCACTGCTCATACCATGTTGAAGCATCAACTCCTTAGCTGGGTCTGCCTCTGTCTCACAACATTCCCATGCTGTTCCCACTTGTCATTCAGGAGGACCCTCAAGGTCAGTCTTCCTCCTGGCCTTGAGAGAAACTCTGTCCCCTCCCAGCGGGATGTGGCAGAAAGCAATCTGACCTTGGGACCTGGAAACCCACAGATTTGTCCTAATCTGCTTCACATCTTGAGACTTTAACAATATACTTAGTTTTACCACTCCTCATTTTTGTCATTTTTTGTGACATGAGAGGACTGGACTGTCGTGTATGGTCTTATAGGTCTCTGGTACTGCTCTCTGCTATTCCCCAAAGTGCCAAAATGTCTTCATCTAGAAACCCACCTGTCTGTTCAGCAATGTTTGTCCATCTGGTGCAGACAGGAGGCTATTGTTTTTGTGTATGTGTATCCCACTCTCCACAAGCAGTAACTTCTAACTCCTTGACTCCTTCTGATATTTGCCTACATGTCTCTAAATAAAATGCTTACCATCTTAGTTTTTATTTTAAGTAGCCACCTATTGAGTAGCTACTGTAGGAAACTGAGATTTATCTCTTCTACAGCCCCCTCACAAACATACGTATTCCCCACCTCCCTTTCTTCCTTCATAGTACCATCATGATTTAAGCTCACATAACTATGTAATGTTTACATTATTGGATCATATGCTATTCTTACTGAATAATGTAGAAAACAATGGTTACTTGAGAAATTTATTGTTTGTCATGAAATTAGAACTGTCTCCATTTTTTCCTTTTGCTAGTCCATGGTTTTGACTACACTATATCCTACTATGTGGAATATACTAGTGTATTTGGTCACTTTTCTGACGATGAGCATTGGGCTGTTTTGAAGTCTTTGCTCTTGAAAACAATGCTGTTTATAAACATCCTTGTGCATGTCTCCTGCTGTACACATGCAAGAGTTTCTCTTTGATGTACACGTAGGAATGGGCTTACTAGGAAAATACGTGAATGTTCACACTTACGAGATAGTGCCAAGTGTTTTTCGAGATGGCGGCAATGAGTTACCCTCCTATCAGCAATAGATCCTGTGGACCCATGTCCTTTCTAAGCACATGGTATTGCCAATTGCTTTTAATTGTTTGTTAACCAAATAGGTATCAAGTGGTATTTCACTGTGCTTATTAGCTCTTTTTGTTTTGTCTACTGTGAAATGTCTCTTTGGGTCTTAGGTCCAAATGTTTGTTATATTCTTTGTGCTTTTCCTATTGATTTATCGAAGTTCTTTAGTCATGATACTAATCTTAATAAAGTATATGTACCTCAAATATCTTTTACCAGGTTGTAACTTGTTTTACACTTCCTTAATGTGTGTTTTATAATCATGGGTCTGGATTTTGATGTGGTTAATTTTATCAAGCTTTTCTAGTTCAATGCTGGCTTGTAATCTTATAGAAGTCTTCCTCTTTTTCAAGATCCAATAGATACTCACTAGATTTCCTACCAAGAGTTGAAACTATTGGTTTTTAAAAGTCTATAATAAATAGAAATAGCATTTTTATATAGTATAGAAGTCTATTTTTTTCTTTTTCTCTATAGATAACCATTTTTTATTATATTTACAAAAAAATCCCTCTTTTACTCACTGATCTGATAGACTACTACTGATAATGCTATCCATTAATGGAAATACATTCTGGGTTTTTGTTATTGTTTCTACCTTTGCTCCAAAACTGTAAATATTAATTACTGTAGCTCCAAAATTAGTCCTGATATCTGGACAAGCAAGTCTCTCCTTACTCTTTTCCTTCAGTGCAAAGAGAAAATACCTTGCTATTTTATTTCTCCATATAAATCTTAAATCATCAAATCAAGTTCAGCAAAATACTTTCTTGCAATTTTTTTACTAGAATCACATTGAGTCTATTGATCAATTTAGGAAGAATTACATTCTTACAATAGTAAGTCTTCTTATCCATGAACATGGTCTCTCTCTGTTTATTAAGATCATGTCAAATATTTTAATAAAATTTTCCAATTTCCATTTAGAGATTTCACATGTTTTTAATATATTTATTTATAGGCACTTGATATTCTGATATCTTAAATTCTTTCTGAGAAAGCTTTTTTATTTCTTGCTACTGGTGATCAGAAATGCAACTTACATTGCACATTAGTCTTATATCTGGTCACTATTATTGCTACTTTTATTTCTCTATTCCCTTAATATTTCTAGTATAATTATCAGTAGATTCCACAAGAGTCTTTAGGATTTTTAAACAATAATAGTATGTACAAATATTTTCAGCTTTCTACATTGTCTATGATTTTATTGTCTGAGTCTATCTTTTATTTTGCATTCTGTCCTGTCATAACTAAGTGTGAAACAATAAAAGCTATTTTAACTGTGATTCAGGATTTTCAACATGCATCATCTCCCTGAGAGACTTTCCCTGACCACTGTATTAAAATTAAACAACCATCAACCCATTGTACTCTCTCTGGGCCTGCTTATCTTCTTACCCTGACTTGTTTTCCACTACCCAACATTGTATTAAATGTACTTTAATCTGTGATTACAGGGGAGCAATATGTCTTATTTTGTTCACTACCATAGCTATTGTCTGAAATAGTCTAATACACAGTCACTAAATACTGATTTAACAAATGAATGTTGATCTTCACTTCAGATCTACGTGGTACACACGTGAGCTGCATGTGAATGGTCACATGGCCCCACAACTTTTTCATTGGAAAACATCCAACTTAAAGTATCTAAAAGTCTTATCTCTTGGATAATGAGTTGCATCAGAGAAGAACCCTGCAACCTCCTCTTGAGGGGGTTATAAGAAGGGGAAGGGTCAGAAGTTTGGCATGTAAAATTTCACTTAATTTTCTTGAATTCAGTAAGGCAACTCATTGACTCCTCAGTTGTTCCTTGGTGGCCCAGTCCAGAGCCCCTCTGATTCCACAGTATACTTCCTGATGCCGTCAGTCCGCAGTGGGCAAGGCAGATAGCTGGTCTAGATGGTCCTTTCAGGTGTTCCGTCTTTCTTTGTGTTCAGTCCTGCCCCACTCCCTGGCCTTCAGGTGTACCTGAACAGTCCCAGGATTCTGCAGGGCAAATACATGTGCTTCCTCTACCAGCCAGGTGGTTAAGTCAAATACCTCTCAGATATCTGCATTTGTCTTCCCTTTTTTCCAAGCTTTCTTGTGGGCTGTTGTTTCTTTTTTCTCTTTTCTTGTCCATGCCTTTCTTCCTTTAGTATTACTTTAGTAGGATTTCAGAAGAGAGAGTAGTTATCTGTGTTCAGTATGCTACAATTAAGTGTTAGGAAGGTTTTCATGAAATACCTTCTCAAATAAAATCCCATGCATAAACACCATAGGTAAAACAAAGCAGAGGATTGAAGGAGAGTGATTGGGATACATGGAACACTCCTACTCAGAAATGCCTTCTTTCTGTCTTCCCCTCACTATCCTTTCCCACACCTTCCTTTTGGTGCCTGTCTCCATCCCCTTCCTAAAAGTCCCCCAAACCCACTTGAAGTTTCCAGTAGAGCAAAACATGAAAATCACTGAGTCATCTACCCTCTTTGGAGACACAGATATCTGAACACATATGTATTTCACGGTAGCTCTTAACAAGCTACATTTGTTGACTCGCCATAAGGAAGATTATTTATATCCTGTTCTTTCAGATGTTTTCTTCTCCACATTCTGGGATGAGCTCATCTTCTGTGAGAACACAGTGACCCCCCCCCCCCAGCAGGATGATGGTTAATAATGAGATGACATATCACTTCATCTTTGTAAATTGAAATCTGCAAAGACTGTTGTTCCCCCCATTAGTAATAATTAGGAATAAAAGCTTTTAGGAGTGTACAGTTGCTATTGTATAACCCATATTTATCTATCCCTGTCAGAATTTTTTTCCAATGAATTACAGTCACTGAAACTCTTCACTGAGTTGGAGATACCATACCTCTTATTTG